TCTATTCAATGAAGAATCCATATTCAATGAAGCTTTCCACAGGAAACAAGATCTTATCGAGCAAGAAGTTTGGACGTTTTCAAAGAGTTGTCGGCTATCGCAGTACGAACAAAATAATCTCGCAATGGGAGAAAAAGTCATTCATATATATAATTTTATCATTCTCGTCTCGGATATTCTCGAGTGGATATTTACAAAGATAAGAGGCGAAATCGAATGGACTCTATTTTATAGAATTCTAAATATATTTTTAGAAAAAAATTGTGACGGTTTTTTTTAATCGAACTGCCATTATAAAAATTAAATAAGTAAATCTCATATATTAGTTTGGATGTAACCTTGGATTTTCACGGTTTTACGCTTTTGACAAAAAACAAATAAATCTGAAAAGTCATATTTTAACAATTACAATATTTTTTATTGATACTGTTGAAATAACAAATGTATTAATTCAACATGACGTATGTCGTTATACAATTTCATCTTTATGCAATCGTAGTTATACAATACATAAATATTTTTCAATATATAAAGTATCGAGAGTGCTACGTTTTTGTACCAGATCCGTGTGAATGGCAAAGCGTATTTTAATATTGCATGAGAACGTTAATAATAACGCGTGTACAAAAGGACTGTCGTCCATACAAAGTAAAATGAGAGTCCAAAAATAAATGACATTATAGGGTGGTGGTGGTGGTACAGAATACTTCGAATATTCTCTCTCCGTTGTGCTACCGGTTATCATTCTGAATTATAATACGTTTTAGTTTGCGAAAAACTGTTGTTGCGTTCGCTTCGTGGGCTTCGTATTTCGTTCAAAACGACTTTCTCTCATTTGTTCATTAACATAACTATCATTATATTGCGGTGTATACATTGAGGAAGTTTTTACGTAAACATTCTAATAATTTTTTTTATCTTAAATATTTTCACACAATTACGATTTGCGGTCTCAATTGTCATCTTGTTAGGATTGTGCATTTACATCTATAATTTCCATATTGCATTGGAAGAGTTTTATTTTATAGTAATAAAATATCTACTCTCTGCTTTATATAATTATCTAGATTGTTTTAATTTATTTATAATTTAGATTTATGTTAATTGCCTGTTTCATATTACAGCCGCTGGCCCTTTAAGAGCGAAGAAGCCGAGTACACGACGAGAAGGGCAGCGACATCCACGAGCTCGGACGCGGTAAACGGTTCCGATCACGAGAGTTCCGAATTGAAGGAACACCAAATGACTTGGCTATCAGCCAGCGCGGACAACATTGTGATATTGATACTGGTGTTAGCGCTGGCGATAAAGTTCATCTTCTTCGAGGATAGAAGCGATGTGGTCGCCAGACGAGAAGAGGAGGAAGAGGAGGGCGAGGCGAAGGAGATGACAGTGGAAGAAAAAGTGAAGCTTCTCGACGGCTCAACTAATCTGGACGATATGGATATCACGATGAATATGTGGTTTCAAGAACATTTTGGCGTAACATTACCGACGACCCAAGAGCCGGTCTTTCCTCTGTCCGGCGTGGGTGGTGGCTGGGGTAATGAGAACGATGTAGAGTGCGTTGACAAGGAGGTACAGACCGACGCGATATACCATGGTGCGAGCAATTCCGAAAATGACTCACCGAAAAAGTCCGAAGCTCCCCGGAGCGTGGAAGACTGTCTCGAGATATATAAGTCAGAGGTAAGAAAATAATGTATAATGATAATAATAGATAATAAGATAATAATATGTAATGTATTAGTATATGTATAATATAATTATATATATTCTTGTATGTGTATATAAGCTTGGAGCCAGTGCCTTGACGAACGAGGAGGTGATACAACTGGTGAAACGCAAGGACATAGCTGCGTACCAGTTGGAAAAAGCGGTAGGAGACTTTGAGCGCGGTGTTGACATCAGGCGTCTCGTCGTGGGTGACGCCGGAAAAGTCACCGAGGAAATGACCGACTTACCATACCGACACTACGATTACAGCAAGGTGTTTGGCGCCTGCTGCGAAAATGTCATCGGGTACGTCCCGGTACCGGTTGGTAGCGTCGGGCCGTTGCTGATCGACGACCAGAAGTACTACGTGCCGATGGCAACGACGGAGGGCTGCTTGGTGGCCTCTACAAATCGCGGCAGCCGCGCGCTCTTGAAGTGCGGCGTGAAAACTCGCGTAATTAAAGATGAGATGACTCGAGCACCTGTAGTGCAATTCCCGAACATTGAGCGCATGTACGAAGCGATGTCGTGGATAAAACAGCCGGAAAACTTTCAGAAACTAAAGGACAGCTTTGAGGAAACCAGCAGATTTGCTCGACTGACGAAGATCGACCAGAAAGTAGCCGGCCGGGACCTGCATCTACGCTTTGTTGGCCCGACCGGTGACGCTATGGGGATGAATATGATGTCCAAGGGGACGGAGAGGTCTCTGCAGACGTTACAGACCTATTTTCCGGACATGGAGATACTCTCCCTCAGTGGGAATTTCTGCACCGATAAAAAGCCCGCAGCTGTCAACTGGATTGAGGGTAGGGGTAAAACCGTGGTGAGCGAGGCAATCGTACCTGCGGACGTCGTGTCGCGCGTGCTGAAGACCTCAGTGCGCAAACTCGTCAGGCTCAATATCAAGAAGAACTTGATAGGTTCAGCCTTGGCAGGCAGCATGGGCGGCTTCAATGCGCACGCCGCAAATATCGTGACCGCAATTTTCATCGCAACTGGACAAGATCCAGCACAGAACGTTAGCAGCAGTAACTGTATAACGGTGATGGAACCGTATGGTGTGGACGGCAAGGATCTGCACATTACCTGCACGATGCCCAGCCTAGAAGTCGGCACAGTGGGCGGTGGTACTGGTTTGCCGGCGCAAAGTGCGTGCTTGGCGATGCTGGGGATCAAGGGTGCGCATCCCACGGAACCCGGTCTGAACGCCAAAAAACTCGCCAAAATCGTTTGCGCCACCGTACTCGCCGGAGAGCTATCTTTGATGGCCGCGTTGACCTCCGGGGACTTAGTCAAGAGTCATTTGACGCATAACAGGTACGTGACTTGAGCGTTTCATTGAATTTATACTTATATGTTTGGAGAAACTAAATGAAAAATTGGATGCGGTATCATTATTAAAATCATTATTAAAATTTTTAGAACAATTTTCTCTTAACATGTAGATACTAATTATTAAAATAACTGAAGAAGTTTATTTCCAAATCATCTTGAATTTATATAGCGTTACAAAACTTTGTAAATCACGCAATGCGAATTTAAAACTTTGACGATAAAACTCAAACCATATGAATACAACTATTAATTACTGTTAATTTTTTAAGCCCCCTGGATATGGTCAGCCGAGAACTCTGCGTTGACGGTGGCGACGTACCGTCGCCACCATCGTAAGAACTCTCTCCAATGGAGAAGTCTTTTGTGACATGTTGACAACCTATTTTATTGTGCATGCTATTTCTTTATTATTCGCTCTGCGCTTGTGCTCTAACGTTTAACGTATTCGTGAAAGTCGTAAAATTGACCGAAAAGTAAGATTTGCATGCGGAAGGAACGTTTTCACCTCCTTTCGATAGTCGTTAAACGGCTGTTTTTCCCGTATGTTTAGGCTTCGTTTTATAGCTGTTTGTTTATTGTCGAGGGAAAAGGGTAGTTTTCGGTCAATTTCGGAAGTGTTCTGAAACGATCTATAGTGATGTTTTATTGAAATGTCTTTTTATTTGAAAATGGCATGCACAACAAAATTGGGTGTTTTCCTCGCCTCGATAGTAAGAATTCAATATGGCCGTGGTGACCGTCCAGGAGCCTTAAATATTTTCTAGCAAGTAACTGATTTGCACGTTTCTCTTTCTGTTTGCAGATCGTCTGTCGAAGTTAGTAACCCGGTGCATACTACTCACAGCAGTAGTAGTAGCGACAACAACAGGCTAACTGTGCCAAACGTTTAACCGTTTTAAAATTTTTGTGTAGACTTTGCGCACAAATTTTTAGTTCGTGGCAAATATGTATTTTCATAATTTCTGTATGAAGCGGCCTGTTATTTACGTATCGTTTCGCACCTGCCTCATTAGTGTTCCAAAGAAACAGTTAGTCAAGTATGTTTCTGCAATATGCGATGAGATGTAGGTCGGACTATAATGTGTATATTATGTCTATGTATATATGTATATGGAAAAAGAAGTAACGGAAATGAACAATTGTCTCTTCCTATAGTGCTTTAATGTAAATAATGAACTTTTTGATTGTTTCGAAATGTCCATTGTATTAATCAGAATTTTTTAATTCGTTTTTTAATTCCACGAATCGAACGCTGGAATCGAAAAACGAGCACGTGCGAATTACAGCGAAATAAAAAAATGAGACTTTTATCTGTATTATTTATATGTTGCAATGCATATGACTGTAATATATAATTATTGCATTGTAATTCATGTTATAATGCATAAATTGTAATTATATAATCGCCAGATCTCTCTGATAAGCTTCGAAAAATTGCAATACAATAGCGATAATACGATTTTAACTGACCAATGTCTTAATAAGGGTTAAACACCAACGGACAATAATTAGATTATGCAGATATTTTCAACGCAATCGCGTCTTATGTCATCTGTTTAGATTTTCGTCTCGGTTCCAACAAGCGTACAATTATACATTTATTTATTGTAATAATAAACATCAGATTAAATATAAACAGATTAAGTTTTCGCAAAAGAAAAAAAATGTTATTTTAATCTAATTGTCTACGTGATATCTACAAAAATATTGTTTAAGCAGCATATCTTCTGAATATTAAAACATTGTTCTTTTTAAATAAGAAAAAAATATGCAAAATTATATTACTCCAATGTACAAAAAATAGCGAAATAAATATAATAATTTACATATTTCGTAATTGTATATAATTATAGGTAATTATTTTATAACGTAAATGAAATAAGTATAATTTTTTAACAACATATTCACATGGCGGGAAAAACTTATGAAATTAATAACAAAATACATAATTTATCATATCTTTTATTTAAATTATTTTGTGAAATATAAAAAAAAGATGTATAAATCGAAACTGCATTGATCAACAAAATATTCCGTGCATTCAAATTTTCGAGAGAAAAAACAAATTTCTTTTTCGAGACTCTACAAGATCATATTCAAGGAAAAATCATATTCTCTCTCTCGTATAAAGTGATATCAAATTGACTCATGCTATCGCGAATGATAATATTCGGGGATTCACATTTTTTCGTACGTTTCCTCATAATCGCACGTCGTGCAAGTGTGCGTATATGTATCATCCTCTTCATTGTACGTGTCTTCTCCAAACTCGTGAACGTGCGACGCTTTTGTTGTCTTATCGTACAACGAACTTCTCACTTGCATTCGCAGCTGTTTCATCTTCACTCATCCGCAAAACGTAAAACTTGTTTTAGCAACGATATACGACGTCATATTTAAATCACTTATACAAGTTAAGGTACCTTCTTATTGAATTTCTTGATCTTAGCTCCCGCCCGCTTTACATCGCGCGCCTCCTTCTCCTTCAACAGATCCTCTTCCGAACCCCAAACTTCCAAAGCCCTCTGTTCTATCTGCAGATGCAGGTACAACTTCATCTCGCCCCAATTCGCGTTGTGAGGATTCTTTCGCACGATATACTTTAGCACAGGTTCCCGTCGATCGAGATCGCAATCTTTCAACAGGTATTCTTGTTTAGCTTCAGTTTTGGTGATTAAGGAGTGCTTTCCCTCTTTATCCCTAAAACGATATATATAACGGTATAATATTCGCGACTTCTCATTATCAAGAGACATGAGGGAGAGGAAACCAGATACCATATAAATTAAGCCGTTTACTTCAAATGCCGCTCTCATACCTGCATTTATCACAGACAGTTAGATCGAACGTTTGCAAAAGATATGAATCTCCAAATTTCTCCTGGCACTCCTCACATTCGTTAAATTTACCAATAACTGGCTCTGGCTCGGTTCTAATTTTAAGCTAAATAAATATAAATGTTTATTATTGTATAACGTAACAATGTCATGCATATAATTATGTATATACGTGTCCGCTACCATTTGCTGTTCTAATTCATCGTTTTCTTCTATCAGAAAGCCACCACCACTGTCGATAACACGCTGCCCTTGTACTTTTATCATTCTTCCTTTTACAGAGTCATCATTTTCTCTACAACCATATTATTAATAAGAACACGTAAGAATCTAATCAAATTCTTAAAGAAAAAAAAGGTTTATTTTAAATCCAAGACTCCCAAGATCAAAGAATTGAGCTTTAAAAGATGATTGCATTACAGGCAAATACATTAACAAATCTCTCATGTATACGCTTGATACACACCTTGCATATGGATGAGCTACAACCTTAGATTTTCTTAACAAGAGTGCTCTCTGGCGATTTCGTTCGGCTCTCTCTTTGAGCTGCCTCTCCGTCTCCGTGTTGTCTCCATTCTTGTTAGAATTACTTTCCATATTTTCGGTTGCTGTACTAGCCATTTGTTAACAAATAAAACATCAAATCCCCATGTGCGTTTTGTGCCAATAATACGTATTTATACGCTTTTAAAGGATTATACCCTGAAAATGAGCAATGTATAATCGTTTGTTTATTCCTTGAGATGATAAACATTCAGAGGATACTGTGTGTAGAAATTTATCTGAGTATCTACTGTAAACAAATTCATCAGAGGGCTCAACGTAATACCTGGATAGATCAGATAAAAAAAATCAAAATTTTCGATGGTTTTAACAGACCGTCGAAAAGTGTCATATCGCTGATGTTTGTTTGAAACGTTACACAATTAGGATTGCATTAGATTGCGAAATCAAGATGCAAAAGTAAAGGCATTCCGTAATAGCGAGGTTACTCACCGACATTTCGAGTCATCCATGTAAAACTTTATGTCATGCAGCGAAAACGACATTGAACTAAAAGGTCCGACTGACGAGTTATGATATTAAATATAGTATAAACGGAAATAATTAAGGCCTAAGTTATTCACACGGGAAAAGCTTTCAGCTCATCAGATATGTGCCGATCTGTTCGTTCCAGCACTTCCAGCTGATTTCTTGCACCTTCTGCACTTCAAAATACACGTGGGCATATATTTATAGAGGCGTACACGCGTCCGTAAAATAAATAAAAAAATAGCCGGCAATTAAAAGCTGCATTATATTAAAAAGTTTCTCGTGAAAATATATAACATATTAATTTATAACATGTCCAAAATATAAATGTAATGTGCGGGTTAATTTTTAATATAAATATTTCTTCAATCCAGAATGTTTAGTGTAGTGTCATTGCAAATAGGATATGACAAAATAAAATGACAAAATAAGTAATGGATTTGATCTCGGATATTTAAAGCTATCAACAATTCTCCTCCCAGCAAACCAATTGATACAATTATCGAGATCTTCAAATATTCTATGGCTTTTTTATTGTTAACCTCTTATTTCTTTTATAGTTAATAATTTAATAAAGGTTTGTATAAGAACACACAATAAAATTGAAAACGAAACACGTTTAAAGTTGCAGATAGAAATTTTATTAAAATTTAGTAAAATTGACGATTTGTACGAAAGTGACGAAACTGTATATTACAATGTGTCAATCGAAGCTTCCTTATTCCATTCTATTGTTAACTTAGTACTAATTTACATCCACACTTCGAAGTCCGCATATATAGATCATGAACCGAATAAATTCGCAGACTCGTCATATCTATATTAATTGTGATGTCAAGCGATAATTGTTGCATTCGTTGGATACTTCAAATATTCGCGAACACGATTATTTACAAAACGCATGCTGTATCGTAGACTAGATAGATTGCTGTAATAAATGGGATTGTTAAACGTATTACTGGGAGGCGACAGTTCGTCGTGTTAGTATAATGCTTGTGAATAACTTAATTATTAAAAATAACTTAATTATTTAAAAAAAGAATGTTACGTCAGTAAAACTAGTGACAAGTCGATGTGATGTATCGTATCTTCCGGATTGTTGAAAAGACATATAATAAAGCATTATTGATCTGCTATACCTCAAGTTAACGAATAACTTTTGATAATTAAAACGTACCTAAAAATAGATCGCAGAATACTCTTAATTGTGATTTAAGACGCATTGAAGTAGAGGAAAAACTTAAATTTTGGTTCTGTTCTTTTTTTGGCCTGTTGCCGGCTACTTTTTCTTTGCCCAAAAAGTGAAGTAAATATATACATAATTACGCGAGAAAGTAAACAAGAGAAAGTGAAAAGAGGAGAAAGTGAAGTGAAGAGAAGAGAAAGGAGGAGAGAAAGGAGGAGGAAAGGAGGAGAGAGTAAAGTTGAAAGAAAATACCTTGCAGTCAGAAAAAAAAACAGACCTTTTGTATACGACGCACGTGTAAATAACTGCACTTGCGTCATCGAGGATGAGACAACTGGTTCGCTTAATCCCCGACGGAAAAATGAAATCTTCACGAATTTCTCCCTACTTCATGTTACGCACAGTTTTGCATATCAAAATGTATCAATATTCTCGAAAACGACCTCGAAAATACGAAAAAAAAAAACTCGTAATAAATCATCGATACTCGTCGCGGTGATAAAATATCAAGTTTGCGCTCTGAACACGTTGTGCTAGCAATGAATTGCACATGTAACACGCGTGAATCGATTCCGCCGTTCCGAATTCCGTTGGAAGAACTTTGAGACAATGGTTCCTTCAACTCTTTTTGCCGTAAAACTTCCGATTCAGCAGGTACAGGAGCAGGTTCACATTGATCTTCGCCCTACCGAACATGTCCATGCAGGGTCTGCCCTCGTACTGCAACTCGAGCAGCTCCTGTATGCTGATGTCGAGCTTCTCCAGCTCGACGCCCATGAATTTGCAGCGTACAGAAAATACGCCGCTGTGCTCCGTCGGGCTTATCTCGAAGATGACGTTCTTCATCTCCGTCGGGCTCAACGCCTGATCGACCTCCATCAGCACGCCCTTCTCCTGCAACTTCCACGCGGAATACTTCACCGTCATCTTGGATCGCAGTTTGCACTGCGTGTACATGTCCTTCTGCGTCGCCTGATACGCGCGAAGCGAGCTCTTTCCCCTGTGCAGATTCTGGAGGCAGCCCTTTATGTACTCGTTGTAGAATCCGACCTGCTCCTCGTAGTACCGCGTCTTCTCGTCCAATCGCACCTTGGTCGCCCGCAGCCCCTGCAACTCCTTGTCCCTCGCGACGCGATACTTGCTCTTGTTGCAAATATCCCTTGCTATCGCCGTCACGATCGTTTGATAACCGTCCGCGCGACTGACCCATCCCTCGAGCTCGAGCTTGTTAAGATACGCGCGCAATTGCATCTTGCAGTCGTTTATGGACGAACTCTCGCGTACCGTTGGCGACACGGACGAATAATCGAACAGTTTCACGCTCATCGGAGAAGATGTGGCCTCCAAGGACTCCACGAGAGTCGGCTTCTTTAAGAACGGGATAACCGACACGAGTAATTCCTTCGCCTTCACGAAGAGATTGCTCAGATTCGTGTCGTCATTTCGCGGCACCTGGAACTTGTTGGTCAGCACCAGGCACACCTCCTGCTTACTGTATCGCGCCAAATTTGCATCGTACGTCGCTTTGGAAATCCCGAGCAACGACGCCACGGTTGGTGCCGGGCCCAAATCATCCAACAAGTCATGCAGAGGATCAGACGGATCCGGTGCTATCTGGTCTTCATAATTCAACATCAAAGCGTGAACGTCGCATATTTCTTGCAGAGATATACAGATCTCCGGATTCTGTATAAGCGTCGCCTCCGTGTATTCGTGAATATCGAAGTGTTCCTCGAGGTCTTCCACTTGGCAACAGTATCGGAAGAAGTCTTTGAACTTCTCGTGGCAGGCAATTATGAACGGATTCAAACATTCCAAGTGCGGTGCCTCCTCGCCGAAACCTTTCTTCGAGGTGGAGAATTGCAACACCTTGGCTATACTGGCCAGATTTTTTCTCTGGCAGGAGGACAAAGTTCGGTCGACCGGCAGTGTGACGATGTCGAAGGTGTCCGGTGCCACGATCGCGGCGTTGATGAAGTGATAGTAAATCAAATTGCCGACCGCCTTAAGGATATCTTTCTCGGGAGCATGCGGAAACTTGTCCATCAACGTGTTGTACAGGACCTTCGAAACGTAGAGCATCCCGTAAGGGATCAGATCACGAGACTGCGTTATTCTATTGAGAAACTCGAGGGATATTCTCTTCAATTGATTTATCGCTCTCGTGAGCGATTCCTGCACCGGGATGTGTTTCAACGCTTGTTCCTGAGATACCGTATGAGGCATGTCCAAAGACTGGCCGCATTCCATTTCCAGCTGATTCCGCCAAAGCTTGTATATGTCTACCGGATTCGTCTCTATGCAGAGATCCTTTTCTTCCAGGACCTTCTCGATCAACGAACCTACAATCTGCTTTAACGACGCTTGACCGTTGAATTGTTTCGCGTAATTCACCACCATCTCGCGTACCAAAGGCTTGCCGGTCAACACGTCGGAGGGCTGATGGCAATTGCACTTGATCTCCTCTCTCAATGCGCAACCGAAGAGTTTCAGCAGTAAATAGTCTTCCCGGGTGTTCGATCCGAAATTAAACAACGTCAAGATGATGTTCTTCAGGAACAACTTGTTTGACTTGTTGCTAGGAGGCAAATATAACAGCTTGGACAAATATTGTGGATTCGTCTGCAACGCGTAGAACAGGTGCTGATAGCCCTCCAGCATCTTACGACCTTCCCTCGTTAACGATTTGAGACCTTTATGTGCCATCGTACTAATGTCACTCAAGACGTTTTGATCCTTGCCCGCGTTCTTCTCCTTTGCAAGGGTATCCAAACTTTTGCCGTGCGCCACCACATCCTAAATAGAAACGCGAAATATTTCTTAGCAAAATTCCGACTTTGTAAATATTCGATTAATTTAAGAAAATATACCTGTAACGCTATTCTGTTCTGGATCAGTAATCCTATTTTAACGAACATGCTGTTCAGTTGCTCCGATAGATTCTGATTGTGCCTTATACATTGTACGACCTCGTGCTTCAATTTCTAAAAACAAACGGCCATAAGAGCAGAACTTCGATACGCAGAAACAGAGATATATGCAAGTAATACGAAGGTTATCATACTTGTAATTCTAGATCCTTGTCGTAATCCTCCGCGCTGAAACCTAATACCGTTGAAAAATATCTGACCACGGGGAACGACGGTTTTTCCGAGCGCAATAAAGAGCGAAAGGCTTTTCTCGATGCTCGGCCACGCCACAGAGCTTGTATCTTAATTATCTTATCCTCCTATGTAATAGAAAAAATGAAATTTTATGGAAGAAATTACTGATAAAAAATTCAATTAAAATATTCAAAGGTTCAAGCTTACGTGTCTTTTATATCGACTTAATCTATCATTCTTGTCGTTTGTTCTTGCGTTTGATAATTTACTGTGACATGATTTATCATCCTTATTTATTTTTGCATTTAAGGATTTGCATTTACTCTGATGTTGTAACATAATTTGTCTCCTTTGTTGCAATAGTTTACGATACTGTTTTCGTTGCCTAATGCCCCTCCACCACGCTTGTATCGTGATAATTTTTCTCAAATTATCGTCGAAATAAGCGTATCTGTCAGCGATCTGTTTCCGCAACAAGTATCCTCTAATACAAGCTTGAAATTTAGCAAATAATTCTTCATCGTACATCATATAATCTTCTTCACGTTTCTCTGCTATAACAGATTTAATTGTTTCCTATAAATGTAAAAATAAATTATTATCAATGTGTACTTTTAATTAGGCACGATACTTTGAGAGAACCCATACATACATTTATATCATCTATGGTAAGATGATGAGTCTTCGTAAAACCTATCGGACGCTCCCATGCATATTTTTCGCCTTTCAAATCGATATAAATTTTATTTCCTTTATTGGTAGTATAGCAAACATATGGGCAATTGTATATTTCACGCTACAGTACAAACAAAACTTTAAATAACGTTTATAACAAAGCATATATTATATATTCTCTATTTTAAAAAAAGTGCCCTACCTTCCACTTCAGTAACCGCCGCAATTCCAGAAAACATCGCTCTTGACATTCTTCACTGAATCCTTCAAATTTTTCAGGTATACCAAACGTTTCCAGGCAGTTGAGAGTTTCTATCAGACTATCGTTTTCCACATACGTGTTGATATCGCACAAAAATACTACCACTGCAACGCATTGTAAATAAATAAGAATAATTTGAGTATTTGTTAAGATCAATTGTCTAATTTAGTATGTTCAAAAACGACAGAAAAACACATTCAAAACCATGTGACATACTTTCTTGCATTTCCTCGATCTCTGATGTCACCGTCTTCGCTACAGTTTTGACATCATCCAGCCATAGTTCGGATCCGTCAGATTCTTTCTCAAGTAAACGTTTCTTGAATAGTTTCAAATAAAACGGTGCGTCGTACGGATATGTAGGTATATCGAACTTCTCGGTAATCATTTTTAAGGCTTTCATCATACCCTCATGGTCGTTCGTCGCCACGCCTCGATTAATTTGTTGCAAAATCTGTATAACTATTAACACGAAAGTAATTATCATTATATTAATTTAATAGTTGCAATATTTAAATATAATTATTCGATTTATGCAGCATTTTTATTATACCTTCAAAACCTTCATCACACTGTTCGTTTACCGAATCGATGCACCTTTGAATATCGCTGTAAGTTAATATAGAACATTCTTCAGACGTTCTTAGCTTTACTTGCCGAGCTGTCGTTAGTTCTTGAGCATACTTTACTTTATTAAATTCATCTAATTCCTGTAACGTTTACAGCAATATGTTAAAACAATTTATTTCTATAACAGTAAAAAAATAAATGTAGATTGTTGATATACCTACAGTTAAATGTGCGTCAGGATTCGATAGCTTTTCATAGATGAAATCTGGATTACCTGTGTCCACCGCTTTGGTAATAGCCGCAATAGCGGATAAGACAGATATACAGGCGATTATGTCATCATAAGTGATATTGGTCTATCAAAAAGAAAAAAAAATAATCGTTATTTTGAAAGTTGATAAATATAAATGTAAATAAAATCTACTTTCAAAAGAGTTATAGCTTTTAATTTCCAAGAAATGTAATAAAGTATAGCGTAGATAATCTTACCTCAGAATCTATACGATCTTCTCTCATCTCCTGATAATACAACGGAAGTGCAAATTCATCGATGTAGCGAGAGATTTCTAGACACGGGGTTTGCAAGATCTCATAAAACTTTTCTTTGTCCGCAGATTCTAAAGCCATATTTAGACGTTTGACAGCCTCCTCTCCTGTAACAAATGAGAATAGCAGCTTATATCCGTCTGAAAATTATACAGTACGTTTAATTAAATAATATTAACGTTTGCGACGTTGTTGTGCGTTCTCGTTTCCTTTGTCAATCGCATTCTGAAATGTATCGGTCCAGTACTGAATGCTTTCAGACGGATATATGCCACTCCACTCGAATTTATCCAACATCAGCATTAGTTGTTCTTTATAATCTTCAACATTTTCAGAAAATATATTCTGTAAAACAATATACATGTGACGTTATGATCAAAATTTTTAATAGTTATTACATTATATGCAACAAAAGAATGTTTTCTGCTATACCTTGAAAGATAATACTGGCACTTCCAAAGCAGCTATTATTTCATTGCAGCTAGCATTGTCATGAGATAAAGACGAAGCAATAACTTCCAGTGCGCAAGAAGCTGAAATACAATATATATTTCATCACAATAAGTTTATAGTATCTTTTTTATAAGTTAAACCGAACATACTTTTATAATCATCAAAAAATTTGACACATTAATTTGATTTATTTACCATTTACATAATTAACGTGTCCTTGTATTTCTGCTTGTGTTAATAACTCATCGTATTCATCTGCTACGTAGCTGTCGTTGAGGGACTAAACAGCATAAAATTGAAAAATTGTAACAATTGAAAGATCAATGAAAGTATTTAAATGTGAGCATGCAAAATTATGCAATACAATCAAATTAACAATACCTTGTTAAGTGCCGCTTCTGTTTTCGCAGCTTTAGCTTCCGCCAATGCCTTGCTATACTTTTCTATGTAAGCAGGTTCAACATTACTTAACTGCATCTCTTTACTTTGAAGCTTTTGTAAAATTTTATCGTTATCCTGAAAATACACAATTCAGTTAGTATTACCACGCAAAGTTGCTTTCTAGACGAAATAAAACAGACATACGTTATCTATCACAGCTTGATTAATTGTGACGACAGCGTCGTGAAGAGTGGCTGTATCCGTAGTAATACTGTTAGTCAATAGACCTCCTATTTTTTGAAAGGCAGGCATTTGAATACCTTGTTTTTTCAGTTCTTTAGTAACGGTATCGATTTCTTCCTCTGAAAGAATGTGATACAAATATATAAGAATATATATCTCCCAAAAGCGTAAAAGAAATAGATATCCAAAATGCATTTCAATCATTTCATATTTAATATCTCTGCATTTTCTAGACGGCATTGTAGAAAAGTACATACCAGAGAAATTCACTTTTCCATACAAATCTGGCATTGGTGGCGCTTTTCCATATTTAAATAAATGCTTGCTAAGAGCATGGATGCAATATATCAGTCGCGGCATATTCTTCTTGTCGTATATGTCTGTCGTTTCTGGCAGGAATGTCTGTAAAAGGCAAATTTTGCATTATCTCATTTTAACCATTAATATTGTACCAACGATATAATTCTTTCATTAGATTTCAAAATTACTTTGTACATACCAACGGTAGACGCTCGGACTCCAAGCATTTTAAAAAATAATTTATATTGTCCGTATGACGAAATTGCAATCCAACAGCTTTATATCTGCGCTGTTCGCTGTCGTAGATTTTATTCAACGGTAAAACATTAGGTGCCATGAAGTGGCCGAGTTTCGCTAGATACACTCCGTTGCGAAGATTCTCCTCCAGCTCGATCGACGGAGGTAACGGCTCTCTCAAGCAGGCTTCCATCCATCTACAGAAGAAAAGTGATGCTAATATATTTTTTATCTCAACAAATATAAATCCTTTGATTCTGATAAAGATAAATAACAGACAAATATAATCAATCAATAAGAGATAATTAAATGTAGTAATTTATGTATCCGCATTATATTTACTTCATAGCTTCCTCCAAGTGGCAGAGATAATGATACGACAATTCTCTCCTACGTTCCTCATCCATATCCTCCGCAGATGTCCTCATGTCTTCTAAAATGTATTTATATACAATTCTAAATATTCGAGAGTTAATGTTCAGCACGTAGAATAAGAATGTATCTCATATAATTAGTACTTGAACTTTTTTCATCACAATGTCAATAGGTCTGTTTTTCTTTGTAGCTAAACTAGCATACTTATTTTCTGCACTTAAAGTAAAATAGGTATATGTTTGAAATTTGAAAGCGAGAAGGAAAGTTCTAGCGCAGTCCAGTGCAACGATTAAAAACAAACAAACAAACCTAATAGTAAAAATATTGTCGGATACGCCATCCGTTCCACTACTTTCAAACTTAATCGTACATACGAGATGCGCACGTGCAAAATTATAATCAATTATATACGTGCGTAAATTAACAAATTATCTAATAATATAGTTACGGACGCTCGAGAGTTCGACGTGCGTCGACAAGATGACAGAGGTCCACGATACGTTCGCTAGGTAGACGCGTATCCACTGTTAATCAGATACGATAAAACAATGCGGGCGGTTCCTCACCTTTTCTATCCCTCGTCAAAATGCCAGTCACATTTACCATCCTGGGAGATAACGCGGACACGCGCTGTCACACGAAAAACCGAGAGCAACAGGTGAAAAACATCGAGCGGTACGTTACACTCTCCCAAATTCAAATTTATTATCCGGCGTGGCAGGTGGCGGCAGTGCCGTTCAGTGCTGACAACCATGCGAAATGCTCGAATCGCGAATATCGCGATACCTCGACCATAACTATAATCAGAGAGAAACCTGAGAGAGGCCATCCCGGCCTTTTTCGTGTGTTGCTGTGTTGCATTTTCCGACGCGCCGCCTGAGAAAATGCAACTCAACTACGTCGTATCGCTCGGTAACCGCACATGGTTTGCGTCCGTGCTAGGTTCGTGCCGAAGCCGAACTAGCCAGCTGGAGGGGATATTCTGGCCGCGGCGGCCGCGCTTCCATCTTGCGTATTCCAATTAATAACGAATTACGATAATTAAAATTACAAAATTAAGATTACATTCTTCAAAATTATTACGAACTTTGTATCTCATAATTTTGAAAAATATAATCGTAATTTTATAATTTTAATTTTCAGATAAATGTCAAATTTTGCAAGCAAGAAGCTATTATTTGAGCGTTGATTCAAACCTTCACATTTATGTGAAATTTATAATAATTAACGATAATTTTTAAAATGTGAAATTCTATAGATAAAGAATAAACACCGTTATTATCTATTAAGAAATCGTCTTATGTTGATTTCGTATAATATATCCGGTATATATCGGTTAGTATCATACAATTTCAAATTTATTACACGTTTCCTTATAATTCCTTATTACAATATAACTTTCTTATAAATAATGTTACATATGGACGGGTAAAAGCCATAGTGGT